CAGTCTATTTTCATTTAGGACTTCGATCTATGTATTTACATTTGGGAGCAAATTAAATTATCTAGTCACTTTGAAGGTACAAAGAATTGCAGTAGACTTAACATTGTAGTACACAACAATGTTAATTTGAGTGCAATACAGTGTTAACTGTACCATCCACGACGATGCTTTCAGTACTCTCTCTTGTTTACTCCAGTCCTCAAGTATGAAGAAAACCTGAAAATATTAACTGGTAATACTATTTTACGCAAGTTCGGTGGGTCGGTGTTAAAAGGGGAAAATTTCAATAGCAAAAGAAGATGTAAGTTTAAACACGGCATTTTAATGTGTAATGTATAACTTACTTCAAGAAAAGGCTGTAAACAAATATAAGGAATATTTGAATTTATTTTGGAAGAAGATCTTAATAGAATTTTACCACAACGTTACGTTCTTATATATATTTTATGAGATTTGTATTTGAGAGCGAAGACATATCAACGTACAAAAAATACAAGAGGAAAATGGCGAATAACAGCGAAAGTATATATGACCACGGCCCTTGATATACATATATATCGAAGTCAGTGATATGATTGACCTAATTATCTAGGACTCTGGCTAGAAGAAATAGCCAGTGAAGTATAACTATATGTTATTTTTCGTATATCTGATTTCCTTTCTTATCGATATTTAATGGCATTTCCATGCATCACATGGTATATGTAATGAATATTTTATAAGTAATTATATACTTAATCAAAAACGAAACGCAAAATAAAATCATTCAATCAATAGTGATATTTTGGGCAATTGGTACAAAATTATGTATCAATGTTAAGGTACAAGTCGACTCTTTACAATACTGCAGAAGAAAAGTCTTTGTGACGTTACTCGTGTCGTCGTCAGTAGTGATTCAAAGTGGGATATCCGTGATAAACAAAATGACACTTCAGTACCTGGTGTGAGCACCTATTGCACGAATCACTGCACGGATTCTTATTTGCATCGAATTAACGAGAACATTAATTCGCCTTAAGGGAATGTTGTTCCATTCTTGTGTTAATGCTTCGATCAACTGGGCGTGGTTAGTTGGGGAGGAGAAGGAGGGAGGGTTGAAGTTTCCTTATACGCCTCTCCAGCTCATCCCACTCAGTGAGAAACGTGTCAAGCATTGTCTTGCTGGAAAATTAGCTAGAACATCTGAGAAGTGGATGGACATGGGGTTGGAGGATCTGATCTGATCCATCGTAATATATCGCGTGAACGCATTAGCACTAATGAGTCTGCCATGAGTACTAAAGGTATTCGACGCAGTGTCTATAGAAGTCTTGAAACTGTTGCACAAGTGCGACAATTGAATCGCTATGTCTTGTCGTGCGGTCGTTACACGCTATCGGCAACTAACCCAGTAGCATGGAAACGTGTATGGAGACGGTTACTTGTACCCAGGGCAAAGCGACACTGCCGTGAAACAGCTGTATGGCTATGACCATCCATGAACATCGCTATTGCTCTACCCCTCTAATTTGCGTTAGGCGTGACATCTCGGTCAATGGCGAAATCAAAATGCCAACGTGGAAAATAAATGTGGCTGAACTTAGAGTATCCGTTGAAATTATTCGTTTGAAAAAATAGAGTTTGGCTTTATCTCGCCACATGATTTGAACTAAAGACGCTCACAAAGTCAGACAATGACACATTTGACTGATTTAGGGTAGATTGTCGAGAAGGGAGATCATTCTTGATGTAATACCTGATCAAATATTCAATTACTTCCAGGTGTGCTGCAGGGAACAACTTTGTGCGATTCTTTTTCTGTTGAGTATATATTGGTGTTGTTGTTCTGTATTGAATGAGGTCTGACTACATGGGGTAAGTGCACGTAACGTGAAATTGTTTCCATCCCACCTTTTCCTCACTTAACATCTCCAGTTTGAAGATGTGAAATATTTTAAAACAATAAGCCTCATGGCTTAAGTATCCAGGTTAAGGATATGTTAGCTGTATGATGCAGTTTTATTCATTATTTGACTCTACTGCATCTAACTATAAATTTATATTAAAGATGCAATCCACTGGTGTGTCTTTTCTGTACTCCTTGAACATGTAAAGAAGGAGTATTGGTAAAGAGGTGTAAGGTGGTATTGATCTTAACTTACACATTACAATCTCTTTCCCTAACCCCCTTTCGTTTTCCTGCAAATAATAGATAAATGAAATCATGAATGTGCATGCCTACAGTGTATGCTACCATATGTTTCACAGAAATGACCTCAATCTTCTAAGTTTCGGATTTGTTTGCATGAATATTTGAAGAATGAAACAGGATCAATGTTATGGATGAAGGATAACGATGGTTCAATTCATGTAATGGACCAAACTCAACAGGCAGAAATACGCTGCAAGACGACATTTCCTCCGACTTTACTAACTTAAACACAGTCTTGTCAGGTTTTGTCAGATTTCGGTGACAATCAGCAATTACTCTCTGTATTGAAATAGTATTAAAACTGAATTAAATAGTGAAGAAAATAGGGAAAACTGCTCAATACACAAAGCATGAGAAAAGAAAAGAAACCTCTGTGGGTAACCTAAATACACTAATGAAAACAATTATATTTGTGGTATTGCCGCCGGTTGCGTTTGGGAAATGCGTGATAAATAATGGTTACAATTTCACAATTGTACATTCCATATTTAAACAAAGAAGGGAACTTGTGTGAGAAGACCATCTACATACATGTACATCCCTGAATTTAACTACACATACTGTAAAAATATTACATACTGCTTGAAACATGGTATATTTTGAATTTTGGTTGTGTACTGGTATTACCTTCACTGCACAAGCTAGTGAAGTGACGTTCACTTTCCTTTTGCCCTCCCGTACACTAGACTACAATCTTCAGTTTGGTTCCACTGCAGTTCTCAGTTTGTATAGTTATATCCATGTTAGAATGCATGGTGCTTAGCCTCATGTCTCAAGACGGAGGGCGAATAATTATAGCATTGTCTAAGACAGTCATATCCAATGCAGCATTGTGTTGACCACTAGTCAACATTAATCATTCCGTAAGATATTCTCATCATTGCAGAATTATCTGCACTGTAGGAACATTAGCTTGACAGAACTGGAATGAATATATACTTTGGATAAGAGGCATTATTAGGGTTTGTACCATTTAGGTGTGGTTTCTTGACATTCTCTCAGTATCTCCTCTGGAGTCAGCGATAAAGTTGCCATGTTTTTGTGTCTGGACGTTTGTTTCTCGCGGCGAGTACCGAGACGTAGAGTATTTTCATGTGCGACGGATAAGGTGCAAAAAGGGTTGCTTCCATATTGAACAACAGTTGGGGCTATCACCTCCGAGTAGTATCAGTCAGGTTGTTTGTTAGTGCTTTATGACTTTTCATTCTACTTTCCAATAAGGTAAGACCAGTTTTCTTTTTCGTTTTCAAGCTTCTACAAGCTATTTCTAGCCATCTCGTTATCAAATGTGCTTGTTTCTCAACAAATCTAAGCTGCAAAGCCTATTGCTGTTCTGTCAAAGCATCTCCACTTTTCGATGATGGCCAAAAAACATAAATACCAACATGTCAATGTAACCATATTCCAAACTCAAATTCAATAAAACTTCGGCAAAATCTGAACAAAGGAAAAATGTATACGGAGACTCCTGAAGAAGTACAATAAGAATAAGACCAGATGTTAAGGAGGAGAAGAGTCCGCTATGTAAATTGTTCCAAACAGGAAGTTTCTTAATCTTCGCTCTTCATGTCTTTGCTAAAATTTTGTAATATAACTGTGGTAAATTGGTCGAGGTCGACAAGTAACTCCACGGAATTATTTGATGATATTTGTTCAAACCAGTCCGGGTATATGCTGCCGTCTGATCCAAGCTGGATATTGTTACGTTAAAATCGAAAAGTATATCCTGAAGATATCCAACGACCTTCGGATATTTTGTTTTCCTTAGTGGCATTTTTATAATAATTGTCGTTTGTGTTTAAGCATTTAAATTATATTCCTCAGTTTAAATCAATTTGAAATTTTGTTTTCATGAACAGCATTTTGATTCGACAAACATCAAAGAGTTATTGCTCTTTGATCGTTTAAGCATTTAAATCTTGTCGTGTACTTCTCTCAGTTCTCGACTAATGTCGTTTGACGTTCCCTAGTCGCCCATTAAGTTTTGAAATATATGCACTTGTCTTCACTGACGAATCGTATGACAAAACGGCTGTATGGTGCAGTTTAATTCATTATTTGGTTCTACCGTATCTAATTTTACATTTATATTAAATGCTATGATACCCTTCTATGTACTCAGTATGCTATAATGTATTATTAAAGCATAACACAGTTATCCCTCTTGACATTTCGACTATTTCCATATTGTTTTGGTTTTTTTTTTCTCGATTCAATTATGAATGCTTCTTTAGCATGGGACAAGTGAATGTTGTTTCGCCCGGTATGCATTGTTATCTCATTTTGGATGACAAGATACTCTGTTCTAGAGTACATATAACATTTAAAGAAATAATGACAAGGTAAACTCTGGTACCGTGGTGATGATTTTATAGATCAGAAAAATAGATTCTAAGAGTTTACAAACGACTGTCAAATAAATAACAGCATGTGACACAAATTTCGTAAAGATGCAGTAGAGCAAAATAATGAATCAAACTGCATGATCTGTCTCAACCTTCAAGGATACGTCAGTGATGCTAAGAACCTAAATGTTAAATCTAGGCGACTGAGAAAATCCCAAAGTGATTGAAAAAAATGTCGAAATTCAGGAGGTGCACTTCCCCCAGATAATTTTGTAATTTTCATATATCTGACAATTTTAGAAGAACATCAAGCACAGTCACATTTTTCGTCTTTAACAATATTTTCCTTGCTTTCTCCAGCTTAATCACCGGAAATGGCAAACAACTACAGCAATAGAGACTCCGTGATAAGTCTGGAGTCAGTAGAGAGTCAGGAGATTGTAAAAGAGTTGAGACCCCATACGCTATGTACGGAGAGAGGTAAGAGTCAAACACGTGACAAATGTGAAACCCATACAATATGTACAGAGGTAAAGGTTAAACACATGCAAATGTGAAACCCATACAATATGTACAGATAGAGGTGAGGGTCATTCAAGGGCCAAATGTGAAACCCATACAATATGTACAGATAGAGATAACAGTCATTCAAGGGTCAAATATGAAAACCATACAATATGTACAGACAGGTAAGAGTCAAATACGTGCCAAATGTGAAACCCATACAATATGTACAGAAGGAGGTGAAAGTTAAACAGATGACGAATGTGAAACCTATATGATAGGTACAGAGTTTAAGAGTCGAACGGGGCACAACTATGAAACCCGTACGATATGTAAAGATAGAAGTGAGAGTCAAAAAAGGAACAATTGTGATCCCTATACCATATGTACAGATAGAGGAGAGAGTAGAACATGTGACATAAGTGATCTGCGGTATGGAGCCACATACAGATTGGATATATTAATGTTTTTCCTATCAGAGCCAAAATTTTCAATAACATATTGTCCATCTGTTCTGCGTTCTGAAGGTAATGTCGATCCTACTTCATGTATATTGCTTTAAATAATACAAAGATCATGATTTGAATAAATTATTGGTTATGTTCATCGTTCTCTTCTGAAATCAATGTAATTATCTTAAAACTTTTGATTTTGGATAAAATGAATCGAAATTTCTTTTTGATTTGTTTATCTTTGCAACAAAATGAGTTATATTTCAATTCAACTGGTACTATCAAATATACCAATTATTTGGTATAATTGGTGACTTCTTCTTATCTTTTTAAACTACATCATTAAAAGTCATTTTTGTTAGACTTAATATTAAACAATGTGTGTTATTTTCATAATAGGAACTTGTCGAGACCATTCCATGACAGACACCGGAAAACGTATTCAGTTAGTGAAAATGTTGTGTCTCACGGTTATTCCAATCCTTGGACTTTGGGGCTTCACCTTCTATACTTTAACTGACACCATCAGCAGGAAAACCGCCAACGAAAAGGTATGTAACTTCATCTTAATAAAAGGCTCGGATGAGAATAACGCTGAATATGCTTACACAGTCATTAAGTATATAAACGAAGCGTTGTCAAATTGTTGACAAATTACCAAATGAAAGACCGAATGAAATTGATTTACGTTTCAGATGGTATTGACAGATGTTTTTTTTTTTGAAAATTGCATATTTACCCTATCACATTCGATAAAATCACAGAATACAAAATGTAATACTTACACAGATACACCACTGATGGAATAGAGATTCATTACATCCATTCCATCATGTGTAATAGTTATTTAGCATATGATATTTATAAACCATTGCTCTTCTGTAAAGGACAACGTGGATCCTTGAGCTGCTTAGAGTTCCGATTTCCACAAATTAACAGCTTAATCAGTCATGTATATCATTGAAGTGATCGCCAAAAGACGTACACACAAGCATGTGTCCCCTTTTTAGTTAACTCTTGTCATTACCATTGTAATGTGGCTTTTTCCTTTCTACATAGACGAAGAAGGAGTTAAAATTGAGTGTGGAATTGGGCAATCTGATCCATCATCTACAACAAGAAAGAGATATGAGTGTGTTGTATCTGAGTGCTTTGGGTCCGGAAACGAAGACCTTCTTGCTTACAGACTATCTGGAGACGGACAAGGCCATTTATGCTCTGAGTGACTGGCCTTCCAACTTAGATAATGAGAAAAGGATGGAGTTTGAGTCACAGGATAAACTACAGGTAAGTTCAGTATGCCTTTTCATTATATACTTTTATCTTTGCTATTTCCATCGATTGTCATCGCATGGAGCTTGATGTTGCAATGAAATTAATCGAATGAAAAGAAACGAAATCATGGATTTTTGTTTAGGTGCATGTTGGTAAAGGATTTCAATCGTCACCATATTCTAGTTGAGAAATACTCTTTCTAGCTGATATGAATGTTTTCTTTTTAAGAGCATTACTTCGATATAGATGTTGCCGATTTAGCAGAAAACTGTTCCTTTTCAACGTGCATTGTGTAAGTCGTCTTTTCCTTCGCATAAACATTTTCGATTAATCAATACTTAGCTAGAATTTTAGCTTTTTTGAAATCTTTTTGGTAATATTTTGTAGGAATACCTGTCCCGACACCGTCAACTCCTCAGTAAAACCCATTACAACATCAACAACGAACTGGACTTCTACACTAACATCATAGATGTCGTCATTATCTGGTTGTACAAGGCAATCACACAGGGCAAGTTCGCCGTGGTTTGGAAAACATTAGTGGCCTACCTTAAACTAACTAGCGGCAAGCAGGACATAGGTATGTCTCAAACATGTTGTAACCATATCTTAAACAGGGCATCGGTATGTCTCACACTTGACTCGGGTATGTCTCAAACACGACGTAAGCATATATCAAACAGGACATAGGTGAGACATAGGTATGTCTCAAACACGACGTAACCATATCTTAAACAGGGCATCGGTATGTCTCACACATGACATAGGTATGTCTCACACATGACATAGGTATGTCTCAAACATGATATAGACATATTTCAAACAGGACATCGGTATCTTTTACACATGACATATGTATGTCTCAAACACGACGTAACCATATCTTAAACAGGGCATCGGTATGTCTCACACATGACATAGGTATGTCTCAAACACGACGTAACCATATCTTAAACAGGACATAGGTATGGCTTTTTTTATCGATTTCACCACAAATTACCTATCTGTTAGTGATGAAACTTTAATTTAGCTTTTTAATTCTAACTGAAAATCATTTCGATGATGGAAAATGTACACTTTAGTATAACATTTTACGATCCATGAACATAAAACTCACCTAATATCATAGATGATATTTTGTCCTTTATCTGTTTTTCTTGGGTGTATGTAGGTGCATCTAGTGCATCCATTTGTCATTCTAACTGCTGTTTATAAAAAAGAATGATGTAGCACATGTATCATAACATTTTTACATGTTTTAATTGGCTGACAGATATTAATAGACCAAATGAGCGCCTAATGCACTCAATGAATTTAAAAAACGATATAATTTTTTCCGTTGAAGATCACAAAGTAATTCATTTCTAAATAGATTTTGAAATGAGTATAATATTTGCATGTATTCCTGAAATTATCACTTTTGCTTATTCCTTATCGGCAATTTATAACAAAACACAGAACAGGTTGTTATATTTCGTAGTTCTTTCACTCGCTAATGATAACAATACAATAACAGAACACTTGCTAAAACTAACGTTTATTAGGAACTTTTGTAAAATCATTAACTCAAGTAATACTATATAACACAATCACTCCTTGTGTAACCTCTACCCATAATCTATGTACTAACAAACACTTAACACTCTTTGAATTTGAATGTCTTTTGCAGGCATTGAGCGAGCACTTGGTACTCTCTACTATGTACAGGGAGGATTTCAGTCGCACGACTACTTCGAAATGTACAACAACCGTATCAACAGGTACGTAGATTTACGATAGTTAACATGGAATGTCCAGACAAAACCAACATGTGAACATAATCATAATCAAAACTATAATGCAATAAAACGAGGGAAAACTTGAATAACAGAAAGATTTGCACGGATTTACACGTCACGTAGCGCATGAAAAAATAGAATATTAAATTAAACAGATTACTATTTCCTATGTCAAATGGAAAAAAAATCCCCACAGTTTTCATCATTTTATATCTCTGAAACCCATAGTTGTAAGTATATCTGTCAGTTGTTGACATCTTCCATTCGAATCGTGATAGTGGGAACCGTCATTTAAGTATCAGATCACCAACGACATTTAAATATCATAAGTTGGAGATGCAGGGTTGTTTCTATCTAGAAAGGAAAAATCCACGATAGAGAAATATAGATCATCACCCTTTCCTAACAACTTAGTGGACAACTATCCATATTAGTTTCGTCGTAAGAAGAAAAGATCGAGATAAGCAGCTGATTTTGGAGAGTCTATTGTGTCCTTGATTTCCAATTATGATGGGAACATACGATGGAAGCGGTTAATAAATCTCTTATTATTAACGACAAGACGTCATCAATACATCTGAAAGTGAAAAGTGGAATTTGTGATGTCTTTGTGAAAATTCGGCTTCGTATGAAAAAAGTCAGCAAACAGAAATAAAATTCTTTCAGACCTACTCCTCCTGAAGGAGTGATTGGATTTGGCCCAAATTTGGTCTGAATAATCCTTGGGTGAAGACAATCAGTTCTGTATAAACTTGTGGTTGCGGCCTCCTGGAACAGGAAGTGCTAGGCCCAATATAGGAAATAGAGCAAATGATACCCATACATAAATCTGATAAAATCAACAGCTTTCAAAGTAACTGATGAATGATATGATGTGTAATAAAACTATCAGTATATAATATTACTATTTGTTACTTTATCTCCCTAAGATACCATGTTCAGTATCATTCCTTTTTCATAGATTGCTTATCAACAAAGTCAGGGTTTTTTCAATCACAGGTTTCGTGCGTTCTATACAACAGCCGAACTCTACTCGACTCGAGTTGACCGTCTTTACTCGTCCGGTGTGAAAGAAGTCGGCACCAATATAACAGGTGTGATAAACAACTTCCGGTATGAGATTCAGCACCAGCAGATGGGGACAGTTTGGGTTCCTAATATGCAAGAAGCGCGCTATTGGTGAGTTTTCTTCATTTACAATAAAACAATGTTAGAGTTTATTTGCATTCGAGTTCAGCATCAGCATTCAGCAAGGGAAGAGTCCCTCTTGGGCTCAGTTACTGTCAGCATGTAATTTATATATACAATTATAATGAACAATTTCAGTTTTGACTAATGCCTCCCTTGTCTCTCTCACATTTTGACATTCAGTTGAGTATTCGCCCCTATGAGGAAGGCGTTTGTTGTTCATCTCCTGACCTTGGCTTAATGTTCACGACCGTGGTATATTGTAGCGTAATGACAGTTTATGGTCTGTATAATGTGATTGGGTTTGATGAGCCGTCGGCAGTATTCATCGTAATGGTAACACCTTATGGTCTGTATTAGTGCCGCACAGTCACAAGGCGACTCTCACGAGCTAGAGCTTTATGTATATATATATCAACATAATGTAACTAGGTAAAGTGTCATGCTGCTGTGCCCAGGTTATAACAATTCAGTGTGATGCACTTTACATTGCACAAGCGTCCATCAGTGTTCTCAATGTCCATGGATACTGTCTTCATATACTCTTGGAAGTTGCGAAGCACCATCAGGAATATGTATTATCATATCAAGAGATCGCCTACTTAGATATTTGGGGATTGTCTAAATTGGTAGTACCAGAAAGTAATGGCTACAACAGGTATCCTATCCAGTTACACCTTTCATCTAACAACCACAAATATAAACAATAAATATTGGTCTAAAACCCATCTGACACCAAATCAAAGGGATCATATCATATCACACAAAAGTGACAACCAATCTACAGCATGTTTTTTTTCACAGACATAAAGAGCAGGATAGAAAAAAGGGAAAAAATCCCAAGTATTGAAACTGGGCAATAGGTTTTATTTGGTCTCTTCTATGTCTATGAACACACATTATCTTTCATGACTTTCATATAGAAAGGGAACTCAGAATGCTAGTTGTCATATATGAATAGACGTGTTTGGTTTTGTTTTATACTGTTAACGTCCTATCAACAGCTATGATCAATTAAGGATGGCATTGCTATATATGCTAGGTCAGTATGCTTTTCGGGGAGGCTTGTATGTCCATTTGATAGTGAAGGACTGGTGCTGGTTTTATATTAATACTACACTGAAGTAAAGTGCCAAAGGCCTCGAGCAGAACATCACACACGATCACAGTTACACTTCTAGAATGCAGAGCGTAGCAATTTGTAACATACATGAAGGAAATCACATCACTTCTGTCCCGAGAGCTTGTGTGTCCGGTATAATTAAAATTAATGTATAATGTACACATATATACATCATATTAAACTTATTACCTGGTGAAGGCATTCATTATATATATATATATATTTCATATATTACAGAATAAATTGTTTTACAACATAGAGGTTGTATAAAAGCAGTATGAAATCATAACGATGATTATTACTTTAACACACGTGTTGCCACATTTTGTATATAGGTTTGACAACATGACGCTCTACCTTGACACACTACTGGACATCCAGCGTGACCTTGGTTATGAGATTATCGATGGCCTAAATGTCGTTATCGACGAAAGTACCCGAGATTTGTCGATTAGTGCGTCATTCCTGGCGGTAGTGCTTATCATGTGTCCTCTTGTAATTTTTGCCACCGAGAACTTAACAAGCAGTATCCAAAAATATGCTCTTACTCTTGTCGATAAAACACGAGAGTTGATGGAAGAAAAGAAGAAAACAGATTCACTTCTTTACCAAATGGTTCCAAAGCCTGTAGCAAATAAACTACAGAAAAACATACAAATTGTTGCTGAATATTTTAATTCAGTTACAATTATGTTTTCGGATATTTACGGATTTGCCCGAATCTCAACGGAATGTTCTCCAATTGAGATTGTGGATCTTCTGAATAATCTGTATCGGACAATAGATGACTTGCTAGATGACTACAACGTATACAAGGTCGAGACTATCAATGATTGTTACATGGTCGCCTCAGGTATTGTATGGACATCATTTTCATTCAAATTAGATGCTTTCGGAAATTAAAAAAAAATACAAAATTTGAGGTAATACTTGATGAAAACTCGTGCTTTTGACGTTTTTAAGGCAAACTAATACTATTCCAATATATTAATAATATATCAATCCTCTCGGAATAAAATAAAAATCTTGTCTCATCCCGGACACTTTACTTACTCAAATTATTATGAAGACATTAGTTTTATAATGGTATATCTATGCTATATAGGACCTAGTCCTTGTGAAGTCATTGGCTGTGCGTAATAAATTATCGCCTGTATCGCTAAATAGTTTTTTCTAAAACAATTAAGTGAGCATCTTTCTTTTTTTCTATTAATAGAATATTTTCACCTATACCCGTTTCAAGATTGATTGTAACATGATATGTTATAGGACACTAGAGATAGGTACAGCGACATTCGTTCGTTTGCTTACAGGGATCCCGACAAAGAACGGAAAGGAGCATGTGTCAGAGGTGGCAAACTTCTCTCTCGCACTTCTCGCGCTTGTCCAGTCCAAAAAGTTCGTCGTCTCCGGAAACGGAAATATTCAACTACGAATAGGAATCAATACAGGTAAAATGGACTGAATTTCTTTCTGTTTTGTAAAAATGTGCAAACATTGACTTGTTTGTTAAAACAGTGAAGACATTTCTAATTTTTAAAAATTATCTATAGGCACAAAATAAAGAGAAAATGGAAACTACCTGAGATTTGATGAGATTTAAGACATTGACAATAGCAACACTTGTTCCCATCGACCTAATATTATTATTATAATGAGTAAACTGTAATGTATTTCTCATAGTAACACCATATCGAGTTTGAATGACCGTTTTCATTTCGCGACGGTGTGCTCTCATTACAACCGAATACATCAAGGGCTGTATTAATTGGTCTTTAATTTGTGATTGCCATCACTCAAGGTTGAAGGACCAAAGGTCACATTTGATCACCGTTTAAACGTTTGTGAATTGCCGTGAACCTTTCTAAAGGTACAACACATATTCATATCATTGTTTTACAACATACAGTTTTGCAAGATTTGAATTTGGTGGTCATGTTTCAAAGACACCATGCACGCTAGATTCCTTTTGAAATAAAGAAACCAGTGAAAAAAAAACATTTTATTAACTCTTCAACCAATCAGTTTTATATTAACATCAAAGCAAGATAGCAACAGTGTAGATCATCAGCCTAGAACAAAAAGGTCGAAATGGTTTCTCAACAAATCTTGAAAAAAAGTACTAGAAATCACTCACCATTAATTTTGTAATAATCAGAGATACTAGAAATCATGTGAAATAATGTTTTTAAGTGAGAATTTCATGTCGAATTGGGTGTATTCAATCATTACTTCATTTCAAAAACCCGTTATGTAATACACTCATCTTGAGGTAGATGGAGAGTAGGGTGACGCCAGGAGGTATACTGTACGATGAATGTTACCCTCGATACTCCAGGGGTGACGATCACATTTGTTCTGTGCACTCCTCGCATATTTCCTGACAAACTGAAGGCATACGTGAAGTAATTTGATTGGTCTAGAGCGGGTTTTAGGAGGAAAAAAACTGACCAATCACAAACTGATATGCTCGTTTGAAGACTTCAAAACAAGTACAACTAAACCATTACCTTGAATGTGTTTTGATGTACTTTAAAGAATCAAACTTGTAATTTCATTTTGTCTACAAGGTGTCGCAAACGAAATCTTCAATTCTGCCAAGAAATGTTCCAGAGGTGCAGAGAGCGAAAGTGATCGTAACCCATGGGGAATCGAGGATGAATGAATCTTAATCGTTAAAAGTCCTACTAACAAACCTTTCCATTTTTTGTATTCTTTCAGGTCCATGTATGGCAGGAATAGTGGGGTCGATCTTACCAAGATATTGTCTATTCGGTGATACTGTAAATACGGCATCCAGGATGAAATCTTACGGAATGCGTGAGTTTGATGAAATAATGCAAAATGTACTCACAAGGAAGGTATACATGTAAAATTACTGATTCCTCTTTTTCAGCCGGATATATGTATGATAAATACCAAGCATTCGTACAATCTTTAACTTGCCATCATCAACAAGTCATATAGGGTCAAAGTTCAGAGGTGGGATCGGGTTATGAACCCCTATTCGGATACAGCACATGAATTATAAACTAAATAAAATGTAGTTTTAATATCTATATTTACTATATTTATCTATTTTGTTTTGCCGTTTATATACTGGTCGATACATGCAGATATTGTTTCCGTGTGTAGTTGGTGTTTTTCGTCTATTCGACCCCTAGGGTTAAAACCTATACTATTCGAAAATATTTTCATGGCAGATTCAGGTATGCAATAAGTCTTAAGATGAATTATGATTTGTGAGTTAAGGTAACTGACGAATATTATTCCAATAGAAAATGTACGTTCTTAAAATTAAGAAACATTACCTCCCTTTATACGAAAACATATGACAACACCTAGAAGACCTTAGAAATTATGACATTTTTGTAAGATCATTTAACTGATACAAACCTATTTATTTGGACAGCTAGCCGGATTCACATCAGTTATAGTACAGCCAGCGCTCTCATCAAAACTCGGAAATATATCACCCGTAAAAGAGGAAACATAACGATAAAGGTATGTTGGAAACTTATAGTTTCAAGTTAAGTTTAAAATAGCATAACATCTACCACCATACTTTTAAGGTCTTCATCTCCCTTTTTACATTACCCCTATACCATTATATCTTTGACCTTCATTGTCATTTATGTTATGTGAATGGCATTTCTATCACCTCCTTTCCACTATATTTTCAGTAGTTTTTTTTAATCTAACTTTGATAATCATTCACAATGGATTAGGTCTTTACTAACATTAGTAGCATCATATTTTTATTGGGGGACGGAGGGTGGGGTTGGTTCATTTACCTCCTCACCCCAATCAATTTTACAACTCTCACCTATAATTACACCTTCTATTGCAAAAGTATCATTGAATTTAAAAATGAATTACGTTGATTTATCTCATACGTTATTAAAAGGCCAGAATTTTGGTTTTTGGTTAATTCTGTTGCGTCATAATCTAAATAAGACTAATACCTTCATGGCGCCACTTTAAGTCCAGGATTCAAGATTTATTTTAAAACTATGGGCCTATCAGTACAATACATTTAATCATGAAGTACAATGTATAGAAAATGATTTTCTTCTAACATAGCTAGTGTACATGATATGTAACATAATAATTAAGGTGTTCTTAATTCATAAGCTTCAAAAATAAAGTAATGCCTATTATTCTTAAATATTTCAGACGCTGATAAAAAACGGAATAGTTTTAGAAACTAATGGATTTCTTATTTGTTTTATTTTTAAAATTTTTGCTATACATACACTGCGACAGTTCCACCTGTACACTCTGTATTACATTAAAATCATTATCATCATTATAGTCAATGCATCATCAATCACAGTAATCATTGTTTAATACATACCTGCCCACCCTTTTACACCCGCTCATGTACATACACATACAACCGTTTTTCACATCCATACTTCATATTTATACAGATGCACAGAATGATTTTTCCAATAATATTTTTAAATATATCTAACTATTAGAATCTGAAATTGACTGACTGCATTTTAATGAAAAATGAAATTCTTCTTCTACTTCAATGGATCTCTGGGTATAGTTCTATATCTACTTATCTAGTGAACGGAAACAATCTGGTGGGACATATTTTATACTTAATAGGAATATGCAAAGAAATAACAAAATGTTTACCAATATGTTTATATAACAAATATGTTCAATTCAATGTTTTTATCTCCATCATAGTTAACTTTTGATTTCGAACATTGTCATAATTCAGCTATATTCACAAATTGCTAATTTATTGAAATCATCTCTTTCACTGATGGCCCAATTAAAACATTTCTATTACAGGCCCAGTTTACTGAAAACATCTAACAATCTGTACCAACTTTAAATCAATATTAAACCTTCTCAATTCCAGGGTGAAGCAACCTTGTGCATGATATATTATTTGGGTTTTTTTTTCACTTTTAATAATTTCTTACAATGATTCAAATGTACTGCATCCGAAACTTATCTAGTATAAAACAATATGCAGCTGTCATAGGTATCAAAAATGTGAAACATGGATTTTTATATTTTACCCTAAATTTGAACATGTAGAAATTATTGTAAATATGGCTTTAAGCGTGAAGGCGTTTCAGTAAGTTTTTAGATTTTCAAGCAAATTGAAAGAGTTTCATCTGATTCAGAAATAACACTATATCATTAGCGCGTGCAGCAAGTCAGGGTTCTTCAAACATATAATGTCTATTATAACAGTTAATAAAAATATTTCGCCTTGTACGAGGCCGATATCATTCTCAAAGAAATCAGACAATGTACTCATCTGACATAAGATTTCACATGTACTTAAATAGATTTAATTTGGGGATTTGTACCATAGATTAAGTCCATCAACGTTATGTAATGTTTTTTAAGAAGGGAACAATTGTATAGTCTTCCCCCTAAGTTGTTAGGGTCAGATACATCACTCTACTTAAGTACAGGTACTCTTAAAGCAACACACCAATCTTAATGGAAATGCTCAGATTTTAAAATGTCATTAAAAGAACTGTGTTACACTGGTAATACTATATCTACAATAATCAACAAGGACTATAAAGTTAGGTTTTAGTTGGCAGGTGGCTGGAACATCGATAGATGTAAATTTACCAATTACCTATCTTTAAAACTTCAGTGTTCTCCTTCAAATGCTATTTTTTTACCATCAACTTCAATAACGATATAAATATTTGTCTTAGGAACTTTTCTACTCTCAATTCATTTAAATCAATTATCAATAAGACAGAAAAATGCTTTCAGGTATGAGGTGTACGTAAATTAAACATACTTCATTTCCATCTCAGAAACCGTGACAGCTCTATTGATTACGGCCTCCTTAGAGGAAATTTAGATAACACAGCTGAATGTAGATGCGGCAGCCCATGTGAAGACTTTTATCGTTATCTTTGTGTTTGTCCCTTATACACTCAGAATCTAAATCTATTAATATGACAATAAAAAACCTTTCTGTGGTAATATAGCTTTATACCTACTCAAATAAAGCCATCCGATATTCATCAAAAATAATATCTTATCTGCAAAAATTATTTCAAAAATTATGTTAACCAAAACAAACGGTATGACTGAATGACTGAACCCCACTCCCCACCTGTGTGTGTGTCTCTCTCTTTCTTAATTGCCAAATTAACAACATATTAATATTGCCTAATTCACATTACATTTTTACCTTTCAATTACAGGGAAAAGGCGAGATGAAAACAGTGTGGTTGGTTGGCAAAGTGGGAGATGAAGCGAAGTTCTTCAATCCAAGTGTTCCAGATGATTGTTTGGCCCAATCATCCATGGAAGCTTCAAATGAAGTTCCCGGCGAAATATTTCAACATTACAACCACAGCTTCTTTTCTAGTCTACCAATTCCACGCCTGGGTAGAATGTCTCAAGTAATGAACACTCCTAAAATGTACAGCACAGTTAGAGATAAAAACACTTCAACAATACAAACCATTGGGACAACACATAACTCAGAAGGCCAGCTGGAATGGAGAAAAATTACTGTTTAAGTCCTCATTGTTGGGTAAAGGGGAACTCAAATTCTGGGAATATTATCAAGTTGTTGCAAACACTCGTAATGTCTTGTATTTACCAACTTAATGGCCCCTTTGTGATCTCCCTTTATCAATCCCGAGTGAACAAAATGTTTTATTTATTTTTTAAAATGTGGAACACTGTATTAACAAGGACGTCAGAATTAAAAGATATGATTTGACAGTTCATCATTGTTTGCAGCATGTAAATTATTATCTCAAGCTGTATTAACTTTGTGTTTATTTGTGCAGCGGGACAAGGTGATGGCACGAGTGACGGCAACATCAACATCATCTCGTGTGGCGGAAAAGTCTGATGATCTCAAGAAGAGAAAGGACATGATGCCTCCACAGTTAATTGATGAGATGAGTCTTCATGAGGCGGACAACTAAAAAAATGAACGAGACGAGAGTAAACAATAACAAGATATCAAAATATATAAATGTTCACGAGACGGAAGTAAACAATAACAAGATATCAAAATATATACAATGTTTACGAGACGGAAGTAAAAAATAACAAGATATCAAAATATATACAATGTTTACGAGACAGAAGTAAACAATAACAAGATATCAACATATATACAATGTTTACGAGACGGAAGTAAAAAATAACAAGATATCAAAATGTATACAATGTTTACGAGACGGAAGTAAAATATAACAAGATATTAATATATACAATGTTTACGAGACGGAAGTAAACAATAACAAGATATTAATATATACAATGTTTACGAGACGGAAGTAAACAATAACAAGATATCAAAATATATGCAATGTTTACGAGACGGAAGTAAACAATAACAAGATATCAACATATATACAATGTTTACGAGACGGAAGTAAAAAATAACAAGATATCAAAATATATACAATGTTTACGAGACGAAAGTAAAAAATAACAAGATATTAATATATTCAATGTTTACGAGACGGAAGTAAACAATAACAAGATATTAATATATACAATGTTTACGAGACAGAAGTAAACAATAACAAGATATCAAAACATATACAATGTTTACGAGACGGAAGTAAAAAATAACAAGATATCAAAATATATACAATGTTTACGAGACGGAAGTAAACAATAACAAGATATCAAAATATATACAATGTTTACGAGACGGAAGTAAACAATAACAAGATATTAATATATACAATGTTTACGAGACAGAAGTAAACAATAACAAGATATCAAAACATATACAATGTTTACGAGACGGAAGTAAAAAATAACAAGATATCAACATATATACAATGTTTACGAGACGGAAGTAAACAATAACAAGATATCAAAATATATACAATGTTTACGAGACGGAAGTAAACAATAACAAGATATTAATATATACAATGTTTACGAGACGGAAGTAAACAATAACAAGATATTAATATATACAATGTTTACGAGACGGAAGTAAACAATAACAAGATATAACAAGATATCAAAATATATACAATGTTTACGAGACGGAAGTAAACAATAACAAGATATTAATATATACAATGTTTACGAGACGGAAGTAAACAATAACAAGATATTAATATATACAATGTTTACATAGACATCCACAAATGTCATCAACAATACAAACAAAAATCGTTTTTGAGATGACATTATAAAAAATGGAATTGAAATCTCAAGAATCAATGGTAGTTACTCAATTGTGTGTGTTTCTTAGCTGATAAGAAAATGAGATTGAAGAGACAGTGATTTCAATGGTGTAGGTCATCTGTACATCCGGTAAAGTTGTTCAGGTGTCCGACTATTTATCTGATATTTAGATATTTTCACATATGTGTAATATAGTAAATAGTTTTTGTGATGTTTGTGTTTTAAATACATGTAATGTCATATTCTATGAATCTGATAATTTATCGTTTAATTTTGTACAGAAAGTAAAACTAAGGGATTAAGCCACTGTAATTTCGATTATGTTCTGTACCATTAAGTTAATTTATCAATTAATTGATATATTCATCTATTTGTTTAGTTATTTATTTTTATTTATTTATTTTTAATATTATTAACATTAATATTATTATTTGACATATTTTTCACTTTTACTTCAAAATAAGGCAATCAGTTTGTTTTACGCAGAAAACATTTCGCAAATGTCCATTATTTCCGTGGATATTATATTCGATGCTAACATCTAAATATAAAGAGATCCCGGTGTCCAATAAAGAATGGCGTCTTTCTTTCAATGAAGACAATCGTTATGAATATAGCTTTAATGCGATACACATGGACTAGAATCTTTTATTAGTTTTACTAGATGAGATTATTAGATTTCCATACAACTATAAGTTCAATATAACCCAATCATAGCAGGAAATACTTGTCCTTTGAGATATATACAGAGTTACTGTTCTTGGCGAGTGAACAGTTTCTTGTGCATGAAAGCCCGAGTTTGTTGAGTTTTCCGTCCGTTGTTCGCTATCGATGAAAAATTAACTCTATTACTTTCGGCGAATTATAGTTGAAGTATTCATGAAAATGTACAATTAATTTCTAATTTAAAAGCAAACGGAATTTCACCGTCAAAAAAGGTTATCGTGAAGTCAGGAGATAGTCCGTGACGGTATACCGAGAGTACGCCTTGCAGGGGTTCCCCTGGTTTCGCGTTTATAACTTTTCTTTTTCTCAGCCAATCGCATATTACTTTTAAAATGACGTAGGACGATTATCCATCATCTTATTATACCAATCAATGAAATCGCTTGAATAAAGCAAATGTCGTCATTTCGATCTAATTCAGAGTCGGGGAATTCCAACAAAGGAAATTTCTTACCACGGTATTTGTCACGACAAATCCAGAGCTTCGCATGCTAAAATATGAGCGCATATGAGTTTTGAATAATTTCTTGATATAAAAACAGTACACTTACTTCACAATAAACGAGAAAGAACTTACGAATGACATGAAACTGTGTCTCCGTCCGGGCGACGAATTCGGCTTGTTATAGTCAAGAACGACAACTCAATACCGCTTCAAGTTCGCGGGAGTGTTAATATTTCACGATATGAAAAAGATATGAAAGCTGTCATTGGTCGGCTCTATGATAAGTTGAAGCAGGATTTGAATATGTTTGTCATGTATATAATATAGGTATTTGTAGATTTTGTTATCTTTATTTTATGGTATAAAACCTTGAAAAATGAATTCCTTCAGGATGCACATGTATAAATATAATTATATCATTGTATTTAAGCAAGTTTGAAATAATGGAGTAAGACACGTCATTTGCTCTGCATTTGTTGTTGCCGAGAAAAAAACCAGATACCGCATTAAGTAGAAATGTGCATTTACTTCATTGCTACCAATACCAGGAATAAACATTCTGTTCCTGGTAGTAACGTACATCCTGGTTTTGTTCAAGAGCAAAAGTAGTTTTTTTCTTTATATATGCTCATAATAAACGCCTCAAACTGAAATGGGAATTTATCTTCATTGTCATCTTCAGTGCTTCCAACCCAGAATGGACTTCTGTGACTGAAATTTGTCAGAAGCATCCCTGAGTGTACGGGGTTTTACTTTGAACTCCTTAGCACAAATAATTCATGGCCTTATATGGGAAATATTTATTAATCCATACCAAACCAGGAGAATGAAAGAGATCCTATGGACCTCTTGTTTTTACTGACAAATAATTTATTTTGGTTAGAATATTTTTTATCAGATTGCAGTTTGATAGTATAAGAGAATCGAATCCCCCGAATTCTTCTCCCGTTGGACCGGAATTGCGAGGCTCAGATTTATTTTTTAAAATGATTTGTCAGCAATTTTGCTATAAATTAGCATTACGTATACTAGAAAGTCCGTTATGTTAACATTATACAGCAAAGTCTCAGGTGACTGTCAATATCCTTCGATCTCCTGTTGAAATTACTTCTTTATTAATTTCTTGTCGCATTTTGATAAATATATGTGATTGTAAATTTAACATTTCATTCAAAAAATGTCAAAACTACCAATTTATTTTGGTAGCGTCATGTTTCTATGGTTACAAATGGAATTCAACACTTGTTTATGAGTATTATGTAAAGCAGAGACTTCGATATATATTTCTGTCTTAATCAGAGAAGAAAACAGTGTAAAGGTTTTAATTTTCAAGGGTAGAATAATGACGTAAAAATTAAATCCATTTCCTTAAAGAATTTGAAACATTTAAAGAACAACCTTTACCATAAGTAAACATCAATAAGAAAAACAATAAGTACTGTAAAATCATATATTTTCGAGGGGCTCAATTTCCGCGAGTTTAAAAAAATGCTGTTTCGTAAATATTTAATTAGATACATCTCAATGAATCAGCTTATACTGATTTCAAAAGTTCATGGACATATTAATTCACATATTAAAAGTACCCACGAAACCACTGGAAATAAAATCATCCACAAAAACTAATGTTTTTACAGTAAGTAATAAATAAATGTATCAAGTTCTTAATTTACTTTATTATTCTTACATGTTATGTGCTTTCTTATTGTATTGTGTTCCTTATTTATCAAACAAATAATAAATGTTATAAAATGATCCATATCTTTCTAGTTCTTCATTTTTATGTTGGTTGGGTCGTTAACCTCCTCAAATCTAACTGAGAATACAACTTTGATCAATAGAGAGGACATCAAAAATGTAAGCTCCTTTCCTCGAAAGAATTACCGGAAGTAAATATCATCGGCAGTTTAGGACAAAACAACAAAGTCGTCATGATATCTGTATCCACCAGTCAGCCATGAGTTCCGAAGAATTTTAATTTTAATAGTTCGTAATTTTGTCTAAAATGACAATAATATTCTCAAGGTTTTGAACTGAAGTGTACGTTTTTGGGAATTTCAGCAATAAATGAAAACATTTTTCCGATTAAAAAAAAAAAAAAACCAACACACTCGGATAAATATTTGCTGCTTTCGAAAATACTGAGAATATACCAGAATTTACACACGATTGAATCTTTCTGATGTATCAGGTGTGGAGTTGACCGTTCAGTTTAACAGCTAACACGTCTGTAAGCAATATAAAATACAATATTAACGGAAAGATTTGTTATTGAGAGTTTACACTCCCTTGATCGCTTATTTTTACAGAGTTAAACGTCCTTGAAACAATAAAGGTCATGTGAAGACGACTGTCAAGAGGGGACACAGAAATGACACAGAGAGGACACAGAGGAGACACAGAGGGGACACAGAGAGGACTCAGAAGGGACACAGAGGGGACACAGAGAGGACTCAAAGGGGACACAGAGGGGACTCAGAGGGGACACAGAGAGGACTCAAAGGGGACACATAGGGGGCATAGAGACAACACAGATTACACAGTAAGGGACATAGAGAGGACACAGGGAGGACACAGGGAGGACCCAGAGGGGACACAGTGGACACAGTGGGGACACAAAGGAGAAACAGAAAGGATACAGAGGGACGCAGAGGTCACACTGAGGGGACACATATGAGACACATGGGGCACTAAGGGGGACCACTGAGGACACATTGGGGGCACAGAGGGGACACAATGGTGACACAGAGGGGACACAGATGAAACACAGAGCCGGAGATAGAGGGGGCACAGAAGGAAAAACAGGGTCAATGGGTCTACTTTGTATCCTGCAAAATCCCTTTGCAACAAGTAGAAGACATGGACGTCAAACCCTGAATCTACTACATATCCGAAACAACAAATTGGCTGATCGATACTTACGTCAGGAATATGATACCCGTGGCCAATAGTATACTTACTGTACAGGATGTGAGAAAAGGCTACGGCATTACAAAGATGTTACCTTAATTATATTTCATGTAAACAGGCCGAGGTCTTCTTCCCTATGGGTAGGTGACTTCATTCCGACGCTGTATTTCATGATATGGTATATATTTGGTGTTATACTGTAAATTTGGTGTTATTCTGCGAGGTCGGTCTATTAAAAAATCAATATCACCTGTAATATTAAAAATATATTTATCTTTTTTGTGTGTTAAAAGTAGGCATCTATTTAGCTGATACCGTAAGATTATCAAAGCATCACTCAAGGACTACGACAAACGATTCAAGGTCGTTTAAAATCGATATGAAATATGTAGAAAGTTAAATCTTAACTTCGTACAAAAATAATTAATCAATAAACGATCGCGTAGAATTTCGAGTATTGCTTTTCCCTGTTTCAGAACCTTGCACCATGACTACGCTAATAGCTTTCCTCCTTTTCTCAATAAAAACACGGAACACTGGGGAAATAAAAGCAGCGATACATATAGCGAATCGGAGGCCAACCTCGTTCATTGCACGTGACTGTAGGCGAACCGTAGTCAGGATGTTGTGACTCAATTTCTCAGTGTGTGAATTTATTCTGAAACGTGAAAACAAAGAATAATGAGAGAAAACGAAAGTCGATAAATACAGATCTTTGTTAGCGACGGATGTATGGTTATTTTTCCCAATATCTGAAAAGATTCAATTTTGAGAATAACACTAACATTTACCAACTGTAGTGACTACGACGGTTTTGGACTGAATTTCTGCGTCCTTTCAGACCTTTTGAAATTAGAAGACAGTAAGGCATCAGGGCTTTCCAGAGACTTCAAAATGTAGCATTAACATCGACAGGAATCAGGAATGTGAATAGTCACAATTTTCAAATGGCTTAAAGACTCAGATCGGTTTGTTGTATTGGTTAAAGAATAAGAGATGACGGAAGTTTTACGTCAGTGAAGTCTTGACCACATCAACTTTGTTTATTGGAGACTGAGATAATATCTGTATTCTATGATAAGGACAATTACTAACGTGAGATGTTGAATGGCATTGATGTATATTATAGTGTATATAAAAATTCACACATATGCAACCAAGGCTTTTGTGTTTTAGTGGCGAAGGAAGTTGTCAAAAGGTGAGCCCCACCCCCGCTTCCTACACCACTGTTTTTCGTTATATAGATATATTCATTGTTTAATGTTTAATGTCATATTTGCAAGGAAATTCAAGGACGGATTAAGTGTGTAGGGTTACTGTAAAATTATGCATTGAGTAAATGTCGTGTTTCTTTTTCTCTTTAGTTGGTTTCGTTTCTAAATTTCATATTTCCACAAATTAATGAACTGTTTAAGAAACCACGTGAATTGTTAGTATGTGGTCATCTCGTGGATACCGTTTGTCTTCGAAGTCAAGTGCCTACGATAAAAGGCATTTTCAACAACGATTTAATATAATTGAAGAGTATTTGAAACAAGTAATGAAATGCTTATTAATGGTAAGTGAAAATCAAATTTATTTTAAAACTTTAAAGTAAAAAAGAAAGCAATCTCATACTTAACCACGGGTTAGGTTGGAATCCCATGAAAATATAAAGAGCTTCTAGAAATAAATAGAATCTTGATGATATAAATGATTTGGTCTGAAATGGAAGAGACAGGTATCGGAAAGAATCCTATTCTGTAACTGGCATTGTTTGTGTCGGGTCACACCACCTGGCCTCACAGTTTTATTGTATCAGGCAGTAATCAAATACAGTTGTAATTCAGTACGAATGTCGGGTATTAATTTGCCAGAATTATTTAAATATTGTATTAAGATATGAAACACTAAAACCAGGAAGTTTTGGTTGTTGCACTGAGTAAGTTTATTTGAGGAAAAATTATAATATACATCCCTGTTTGGAACTATATTTAGGTGCGGCGTGTCGCTGACAGGAACGGAAAGACAAATTTATTATTTCATTCTCAAATCTACAGCTTATATCTTATAACACCGAAGATACATGCTCTATACATATTTTGATAGTCAAACATAAACACTTATATTGCAGATTATTGCATGTATTTATATATATATTGACAAACACAAAGGAAACACAAATGCATTTAACCCTATTATTCAGACTCAGCAGTATGTGTGAGATTATGAAAACGCTATGTCGCATCGCATGTGACTGTGTGTTGGGGTGTAATTGATTTAGCTAATCCAATAGTATATACGTCGGCAAAGGAAAAAAAAGGATTTGTATTTTTTTTTTTTTTTTATATGTCTCGTCATCAATTGATATGGTTTATAATGGTGATTAAAATATAGCGATCTTTCTGAGCTTTTTCAAATGGGGAGGGCTAGTTGGAAAGAGAGGCGTTGAGTCTCGAGGTGTCGGAGAAAACGCTGGCGTGGTGTGGTTGTAGGTGTGATTATATAACGGTGCACGAGTATCATCGAGAATTTGGAAAAGACTTTAACACTTACGTAGAATATGTCCAATAAGCTCAGACATAAATTATGCTAGTAATACAACACCACAATCACACCGGCCGACACGATCAATTTATCGATTCCGATTCCCGCGCGGTTTCATCACCTTCCACTTACGAAATGCGGGGATACCACGTGCAGTGAAGCCGGGAAAGTCACCTTGGCTTTTTCAACAAGGAGAGTATGCTCCGCCTCACGTAGGTCGAATGTATTAGATTGTTCTTGATGAAAAATGCAGAGATCACACATTTGTAGCTTGTTATGAAAAAAGCCGAGAGGTTCCGTTTCAGTGTCCGGGTTGACCATTTCGATACACACGTGTGTTTTATATTCGATAAAAGCGTGTTCTCAGAGGTGTGTGTGTCTGAATGCACGAACTAGTTAATCAACAGGAAGAAGCATCGCATTATATAATAGTTATATATAGATTATCGGTTTAGTTTTTAAAAGTCCCTGAATGTTATAACAATCATAAACGGACACACCAAAAGCGTACAGACGGATCTGTAACGCAATCACACACTGTATTACGTGGTGCGCCAAGCCTAGTTTTGTTTACGTGCTTTGATGCCTGCTGCAATATAACAGAGAATTGCTATATATATCTGTTAGCTATAAAGACATAGATAACACATAGAAACCTCACATCAGATTTGATCTGTAAGATAATACTGACAGCTACTGATTTTCGAAAAATGTCAAAATTTAAAGTTTACATTACTAGAAGAATACCAGATTCTGGTTTGGAGATACTGAATGGTCACTGTGACATAACGAGCTGGGAGGGAGAGGATGCCATTCCCAAGGAAGAGTTAATGAAACACGTGCCGGGTATAAATGGTCTGCTGTGCATGTTGACAGATGACATTGACAAAGAGGTCATAGAAAAGGCCGGTAAGTATTTTTGTTTTATCACTCACATCCATCCGTCCGTCCGTCTTGGCGTCCGTATGTCCATAAAGTAATCTGTTAATTATAAGTTTTCGACTGTCTGTCCTTAGGTTTTATTTGGACGTTATACGAATTCATATTGACGAGTGACATTGACAAGGATGATGTAGAAAAGGCCGGTAGGTATTTTATCTCACTCACGTCCGTCCGTTCAACCTGCAATTTGCAAAATTACAATGTATATGTATATGTATATGTTTACTGTTATTTGTTTTCGGGGTTGTCATTACCTCTGTCCCGCGATAGGTGTATGAACGGACGGAGCTGTAATATGTGTCATTACCTCTGTCCCGCGATAGGGGTATGAACGGACGGAGCTGTAATATGTATCATTACGTCTGTCCTGCGATAGGGGTATGAACGGACGGAGGTGTGATATGTATCATTACGTCTGTCCTACGATAGGGGTATCATTACGTCTGCCCTGCGATAGGGGTATGGACGGGCGGAGCTGTGATATACAGTGCACACCTTCTAACCATATGTTCTGATAACTAAAAACCAAAAAGTTGGAGAACAAAACTCTAAAAGTTGTTGAAATTCACTTTTTGTAAACATGCCTCCATAAGTTTCTTCTTATTCTCCGTCTACAATCTACATTACAGCTACACACTAGTTTATTGATCATTCAAAACATTTCAGGCCACACCTTATGTATAAACTCATCAGACCTTTAATCAATAATCCTATACATTGTGTAGTACACAATAAACACATTCCATATGCCTTGTGTGTAACACAATAAACATATTCTATATCCATATGTCTTGTGTATAACACAATAAACATATTCTATATCCATATGCCTTGTGTGTAACACAATAAACATATTCTATATCCATATGCCTTGTGTGTAACACAATAAACATATTCTATATCCATATGCCTTGTGTGTAACACAATAAACATATTCTATATCCATATGCCTTGTGTGTAACACAATAAACATATTCTATATCAATATGCCTTGTGTGTAACACAATAAACATATTCTATATCCATATGCCTTGTGTATAACACAATAAACACATTCCATATGCCTTGTGTATAACACAATAAACACATTCCATATGCCTTGTGTATAACACGATAAACACATTCCATATCTATATGTCTTGTGTATAACACAATAAACACATTCCATATGCCTTGTGTGTAACACAATAAACATATTCCATATGCCTTGTGTGTAACACAATAAACATATTGCATATGCCTTGTGTGTAACACAATAAACATATTCCATATGCCTTGTGTGTAACACAATAAACATATTGCATATGCCTTGTGTGTAACACAATAAACATATTCCATATGCCTTGTGTGTAACACAATAAACATATTGCATATCCCCATGCATTCTGTATAGCACAATAAACATATTGCATATGCCTTGTGTGTAACACAATAAACATATTGCATATCCCCATGCATTCTGTATAGCACAATAAACATATTCCATATCTATATGTCTTGTGTGTAACACAATAAACATATTCCATATCTATATGACTTGTGTATAACACAATAAACAGATTCCATATCCATATGTCTTGTGTATAACACAATAAACACATTCCATATCTATATGTCTTGTGTGTAACACAATAAACAGATTTCATATCCCCATGCATTGTGTATAGCACAATAAACATATTCCATATTCATATGCCTTGTGTATAACACAATAAACATATTCCATATGTCCATGCATTGAGTATAGCACAATAAACATATTCCATATCCATATGCCTTGTGTATAACACAATAAACATATTCCATATCCATATGCCTTGTGTATAACACAATTAACAGATTGCATATCCTTATGTCTTGTGTATAACACAATTAACAGATTGCATATCTTTATGTCTTGTGTATAACACAATAAACAGATTGCATATCCTTATGTCTTGTGTGTGTGTGCGCGTGCGTGCGTGCGTGCGTGTGTGTGTGTCCTTTTCTAATGATTTGATAAATTTCATTAATTACCTACTATATTCGCGACCCATTAATGCCGACCAATTGATGAGTTTCCAATGACTCTGAAATGAATGATTTAGGAAATTCCAATTTGAAAATAATGAAGATCAATAAAATGTTTACATTATTGATTTGAAGTTTCTCTGTGTTTTAATCTGATCCAGATATTATGTCTCTCCTTCCATTATCATATTGATTAGGCTCGATTTCTTATGATATAATATGATATGATAGATAATGGACGCAGGCATTCTTATGCCTCTATATCCATATCGTGAAATTATAAAAAGACATATATAATTAATGGTCACTTCCGGTAAAGGATTTGAAACTAGCAAGATGGTTAAATTTTAGTTCTAAGCATTTCCAGTGGTAGTCCAAATTAATTTCGAAGTCTCTGATAGTTTTTGCTTGTATTACCGAATCTGGTAGGCTGTTCCACACAACGACAATTCTGAGTCCAAAGGAGTATTTGCGAATATCCAGTCTACAATGTTTTTTCTGTAATTTCTGCGAGTTGCCTCTCGTTCTGACTCTTTTATGGTGTTCAAATATCATAGGCAATCATATTATAGGTAACGTATAGATAGTACATTCGTTCTAAACTACTTGTCATCAATTATAACATATGATGAAACAAATGGCAGGTGACCATACATGTTTCTGTGTTGAAGGAATAACTCACTTACAATGTCCCCGGTAAGGACTAATTTGCACTTATCAAGGGAGATTACCCAACACCGCCGTTCTGAAAAAACATTTTTTCCAACTTTGTTTTCATTGAGATTCTGCTGTTGTAGCATATACTATCTGATATTAAGCAAACGTCTCTGACCTTTCTAAGACTGATAACACATCGATGTATACCTAGTCTGTCTAAAAGCAAGCTAAATAGTATGATGTAAACGACCACGTGGCGGTTAATATCACCTTATTACAAAGGTTATGGGTCAATGTTATGGAGGTTACGTGTTAACAAACAAATACGTGTGTACCTATGTTGTTTTTTGTTTGTTTGTTTGTTTTTTGTTTTGTTTTTGTTTGTTTTTTTATGTTTTAGCCCAACATCAGCTGTTCAAATCGCCCTACGTTTATGGTCTGTCGTCCATTCGTCCGTCTCAAATCGCCCTACGTTTATGGTCTGTCGTCCATTCGTCCGTCTCAAATCGCCCTACGTTTATGGTTTGTCGTCCATTCGTCCGTCTCAAACAATTCTTGATGTGTCTATTTCTTTCTCAAACCGTTATGTAGGTTTTCCTTAGTCCTTAGTTGTGCTCTTTGATTTTTGGGACTGATCATGAAAAAACGATATGACTAATAGGCGACTATTTCTGGTTTGATAGTTTAAATTTGATATTACTCTTTCTTAAGAGGAATTTTCATATGTCATATGATTAAGAGCAAAGAAGGGGAAAGAAGTGAAAAGAATAAAAAAGATTTAACTTTTAAAGAACAAATGAAGACCTAATCATAATGGCGCCAGGATCCCACTACTACCATCTTCGGCAAGACCGATTTATCATATTTTTGTCGCGCTATTAAGCGAGAGTTACTCCCCTTTGCATGTCTAATGAACGACGAACGCTATATATTTTGAGTGTTTTTGTCGCATACGACATTTGAAACATTAAAATAGATACAGACATTTTGTGCAGGACTTTGCTTCCATGCCGCCGCCGCATTGTACGGTTAAGCGACAGAACAAGACGCTAAATTTAACTCCAAATATTGCAAGTTACAATAGTTAATGTAGTTACATTGTACTTTAGTTACAAAAGTTACTGGTTACTGTAGTTACAATAGTTTCGGTTGTTAAAATAGTTACATTGTAGTTAAATTACAATAGTTAATGTAGTTGAAATAGTTACTGTGGTTACAATACTGTCGAAACTCGCTATCTCGAAATTCCAATTATCCGAATTTCGACTGAAACAAAGTGTCCACATAAGGTTGTCGATATCAGTTTTCTGACGGTGATTACTGTTGAATGAAGTAGAGGTGCGAAAAAATGAATGGAAGTTAGCTTGAAAGTAAGGAAAAAACTTTTGTCTGTCTATTTTAATATTCTCTTCATCTTTTCTCTATACCTACCTTTCAGTTTACAACGTGTTTTCTTTGCAATATCTCCGTTTTTGTCTTTGTGTTGAGAGTTACAGTGTGTGTATCGTTACTTCTGATAGAATCCAGACAACGTTTGTAACATTGCCACTTCCTTTCCTCTGAGAACGAACGAATGGCGCATGCGAGAACTTGTTTAACGTGTACAGGGATACTGATACTAATTAAGAAACCAACTTTTAATTGGATACTTAAACTGGTAAATAAGTCACAGACCAAGTATTCTATGTACGATGGACCGGCACGTTGTTATGAGCCAAATGTTACGCAAAGATGACTTTCTAATCTATGTATGTATTAATCCATTTTGTCAGAAGACGTGCCGATGTTTTGACAAAAATAATTTCGAGACATTGAATTACTTTTCCATTGCTTTACAATTGCAGGGACTGAAAAATCACTTTGACTCGAACGAAATTTCGTCTCAATGAAATTCTAGTCATCCAAACTAAAGTTACAAAGGTATAGAATGAAAACATTCGAGACATGTTGTTATCCATTATAATTATAATGACCATGAATAGTTATTGATATCTGTGTCATTCAACTTTATTGATTATTTCCAATAAATCACCAGCTGGCATTGCTTTCTTCTTAAACTAAAAAACATACAAATTATTGACATAAAGGGTAATTCCTGACAAATGTCAGTGAACCTGTTTGAATACACTTTCAAGCATCAAAATATATTTCCTTTGGTCAGTTCGGACAAACAAAATGAACGTAAATACCTCAGACCAATACAGAATTAGACCGTGAGAATTAAATATTCCTATATTTTGGTTCAAAATCCTATATTTTAAAAGACCTCCTATATTTCCAATATTTTCCTATATTTTGAAAATTCCTAAATTTTTCGGGAAATTTGTCGCTGATAGATATCGAGACTGTAAATATTTCTTTGATAATGCTCTTGGCTTCTTTATTTTACAAGTTAGAGAATTCTAAAGTCTGTAACAGCATCACCAGCCAACAGAAAATGATTCAGTGCATCTGTTTATCACCTGTATGGGCACCTTGCAAGATAGTACAACAGGATATTGGCCTTTTAGGTGCCAATTCAGATGATGATGATGATGATGATGATGAGCTATGCAGCAGCTCTCAGTCTGGATTGTGATGCTGTTGAAGTGCATAGTTACTTGAAGATAGTTTTTAATCATTGATTAATATAGAAACAGTAAGTGAAGATAAGAATTGTTAGTATAAATGCCTTTGAATGAAACGATTTTCGTTTGGAAAACTCCTATATTTTGTCTAAAAAATCTAGCATAAAAAATCCTATATTTGTTGAAAAAATATTCCTATATTCTTCCTATATTTTAAAGAATATTTAACTGACAGCCTGATTAAAGCACATTGTGTTGTATATTGTGAAGATATTAGCTGCACGATGTGTTTATTCCAAGCAGACAAAGACACTGTAAGTAAACAGGAAAAAGATCAATTTCTTCCATCCGCCTAATGCAGAACACATGTACTGAATATTTATAAATTCTGCAATGACTACATCGACCTTGAATTTACTAGTGGGTACATGCCAGTAAGGTTTGTTGTAGTGACGCAATCAGGGTCATTTGTAAATCGATTTTGTTAAATTTATGTTGCATTTCTACCGGAAGTTTTTTTTTTCATTTTTTAAGTGTCGGAATGAGGCACGAGACTTCTATCAGAACATCAAAAGGTATTTATGAACGAAAACCCAACTTGTCCGGAATGTCCTTACTGCCACATTTAACCCCAAATACCTCGTGACAATTCGTTTAAGACAGCATTTTTCTCGATGTTACAAATTTGGATTTTTGTTGACATATCATTAGCAAACCGAATCGTTGACAACTAACATGAATCCAGTAGCCGGACTGATTAAAACCAGATCAGATTGGAACACATGTTGTTATTTACTGTTATTTAGGTCCAAACACAAGCTAATTAAATGGATTTATCAAACAAAGAAAATATCAGAGGAAAATACAATGTTACAGTATAACTAGAAACCCGGACGTTCGGTGACCAGATATCAGAGGAAAGGACTATGTAACAGTATTATTAGATACCCGGACGTTCGGTGACCAGATATCAGAGGAAAGGACAATGTTAGAGTATAATTAGACACACGGATGTTCGGTAACCAGATATCAGAGGAAAGGACTATGTAACAGTATAATTAGACACACGGACGTTTGGTGACCAGATATCAGAGGAAAGGACAATGTTAGAGTATAATTAGATACCCGGACGTTCGATGACCAGATATCAGAGGAAAGGACTATGTTACAGTATAATTAGACACACGGACGTTCGGTAACCAGATATCAGAGGAAAGGACAATGTTAGAGTATAATTAGATACCCGGACGTTCGATGACCAGATATCAGAGGAAAGGACTATGTTACAGTATAATTAGACACACGGACGTTCGGTAACCAGATATCAGAGGAAAGGACTATGTTAGAGTATAAATAGATACACGGACGTTCGGTGCCAGATATCAGTGGAAAGGACAATGTTAGAGTATAATTAGATACTCGGACGTTTGTTGACCAGATATCAGAGGAAAGGACTGTTACAGTATAAATAGATACATTGACGTTCGGTGACCAGATATCAGAAGAAAGGACTATGTTACAGTATGATTAGATACCCGGACGTTCGGCGACCAGATATCAGAGGAAATGACAATGTTAGAGTATAATTAGACACACGGACGTTCGATGACCAGATATCAGAGGAAAGGACAGTGTTCGAGTATAATTAGATACACGGACGTTCGGTGACCAGATATCAGAGGAAAGGACTATGTTACAGTATAAATAGATACATTGACGTTCGGTGACCAGATATCAGAGGAAAGGACAATGTTAGAGTATAATTAGACACACGGACGTTCGATGACCAGATATCAGAGGAAAGGACTATGTTACAGTATAATTAGACACAGGGACGTTACAATTTATTGTAAATAATAATGAGGCAATGTTGACGGTTCAACCCCCACCCCCACCATCACCACCACCTTCGCGTCTTCCCAGCACTTACAACAGAGTAACATCCCTTCGTTTCTATCTATAAGAAGGTAAAGTAAACTTCTTTGCGGGAGATAGGAAAAAGGGATAGAGGGCTGGATAAGGTATTCGATTATTTTTCTAACACCTCCCTCTATCTCATCACATTACTAACAGCTGTCAAATAGCACGTGATACTGAACCAGACGGTGTTTTAATACCCCTGTAAACACCTCTATATTGTTTGTATAGAGAAAATCTCGCTTTTTTATCATCTATTAACATATTCCTTTATCAATTGAGCTTTAGTGATTTCTCGTTATGTTATAAACCCAGAAAAATATTGTAAACACATACAATTCATATAGTATACTTTATACTGAATAAATTCAGTTAAGTGCCTATAGATTCAAAGGTTGTTCCTATAACAGCCCATGGACATGAATTACGATAAATGGTTAGTGATCCACGGGGACACTATGTAATCACACGATCATTTCTCATCTAATCACGTGAGAGAAACCTGAATTCATTGACATGTGCATTGACAGCCAACCCTGTTATGAACGACTTGGCGAATCATTTTGGTCGGATAAGAAGGTATGTCGTTAAATGTAAAGAAATATATCTTTGAGGTATGACATTCAAGAGACAAAATCAATATCACCAGACAAATTCTGATAACGATATCAACAGAAAAAGTATGACAGCTACATCAACAGGCAAGATTTAAAGACGACATCAACCGTAATGCCTTGTGACATCATCAACAGACAAATGGTCCAATCAAACGGTGACAATGTTAAGGAAGTGTTTGGCTAGCAATGTAGAGTCTAGTGCGAGTGTATGCTGGATTAGCAATGTAGAGTCTAGTGCGAGTGTATACTGGACTAGCATTGTTGAGTCTAATGCAAGTGTATGATGGGCTAGCTATGTAGAATTTAGTACGAGTGTCTCCTGGACTGGCTAAGTGAAGTTTAGTGCGAGTGTCTCCTGGGCAAGCTATGTGGAGTCAAGTGCGAGTGTCTGATGGGGTAGCATTGTGGAGTCAAGTGCGAGTGTCTGTTGGGCTAGCAATGTGGAGTCTAGTGCGAGCGTCTGTTGGGCTAGCAATGTGGAGTCTAGTGCGAGCGTCTGTTGGGCTAGCAATGTGGAGTCTAGTGCGAGTGTCTGACAAGAAACAATGCTGTCATCACTTAATGACGTCACACAACTCATATAAGTATTGTATGGATTGAGAACTCAAGACATTTAATAGTATATATCCACCGAATGTTAAAAAAAACACGTCTGATAATAGGACATAATGTATCTATTTATGGTAATATCACGGTTACCCATTATGTAATGTGTTATAACCTGCCCCTATTGAAAGATTCCGCCGTATCTAATATCCGTTTTGTGTATTACAGGGCCGAATCTGAAGGTGATCACAACCATGTCCGTGGGTTTTGAACACATAGATATAGAGGAGTGCCGAAAGAGGGGGATATTGGTTGCCAATACTCCGAATGTTTCAACTGACAGCGTGGCTGAGCTGACCTTATCACTACTGCTGATGACTGCCAGGAGATTGGTAGAAGGTAAGGCAATTGAAACGTTACAAACAAGCAATTTGTCCGAGAGTTATACATATAAATGTTTTATTCACATACCCAATAGAAACATTGTTAGACATGATGTACATAGAACAGTGAAACAGGCTTGTTGGACATGGTGTACATAGAACAGTGACACAGGCCTGTTGGACATGGTGTGCATACAACAGCGACATAGGCCTATAGAACCTGATTTTATATAGAATGGCCAAGGTCGAGCCAAACAGGCGTGTTTTCAATAAACAAATGTTTTATCGGTTACAGGTGTAGATGCTGTGAAGAATGATCAGTGGGGGCCATGGAAACCGATGTGGCTGTGTGGTGTCGAACTGACCGGTCGGACAGTCGGAATCCTTGGACTCGGAAGAATCGGTTATGGTGTAGCCAAGCGTGTACGACCTTTCGGAATCAGCCGTATCCTCTATAACGATGTCTGTCAGGTATGAAATGATATGTTAATCAGGTTGTTAAATTGATATGAAAATCATGTTTTTTTTTTAGATGTTTTGTCTACATTTATTTGTCTTAATTTGAATATGGAAGGATATCAACAGAAATTCGAAATCTCACGCAATGCGTGTACTAAAACCTCTCGAAGTTCAATTCCTGCAAAATTTTGGAAGTAAAACTATTCCGAAATAAGTCTAGAGGTTTGAGTGAGTTACAGCTAGAACTGTTGAATATATTCAAAGAAGAGTCCTTTTATATGTTCTGTAAATGAGCGGAAATGCCTTGGTTCTATTGGTTATACACTGACTGATCAATTACAGGTGAGTCATGCTGATGACGTAGGTGCGGAGTTCACAGATTTCGAAAATATGATCAAAGAATCGGACGTAGTAATTATATGTTGCAACTTGACGGATTCAACCAGGCACAAGTTCAACAAGGATACGTTCAAGAAAATGAAGAAGACCGCCATCTTAATCAACAGTGGTCGAGGGGGCGTTGTCCAGCATGACGATCTCTATGATGCACTCACTTCCGGCGAAATCTATGCTGCGGGATTGGACGTCACTGAACCGGAACCTCTACCACATGACCATCCATTGGTAGGTTTGCAGAACTGTGTCATACTTCCTCACATGGGAAGTAACACTTGGGACTCTAGAAACCATATGGCCGAAACTGCGGCCAAAAATATCATTTCCGTTATGAACGGCGAGATTCCTTACGGTCTTGTCAAATAAGTGGGCAAAAGCATAAGTGATCAAAACATCACAGCTGAACATTTAAATAAAATTAAGAACATTTTATTGTTTACCGAGTGAATGAAAACTTACTAAGATAATAGTTAAACGGACCAGAAATGTCATTTCATTGTACCGGTGTTACATTTCAATATAAGACTCCATGACTGCAATATGTCAAAAAATGATAGTTAAAATTTTTTGCTTATATCCAGTTTTAAAATTGATTTATTGATAGTCAAAAATTAAAAGAAAATACTCGTTGCGCTTGCTTTTGGTGATTTTTACATTCTTAGCATCATACTATGTAATTCAATTGTTTCGCAATAGGCATGCTGACGTTTTTAATATGACGTTTTGGTGCACTAGGAGATGTTATCACCCACGACCAACAGCGTCGTCACTTTGTCAATCAAATAGTTTATTCTCAATGTATTCTTTGTGTAATGTTTTAGTTTCCGTGCCAATTCAGCGTGTTTGTGTGTACAGTATCTATAAATTATACATTTGCTGAAGTTGAAATTTTACCATAGGATGTATAGTCTATTTTTATCGTGTATTGTTTATTCATTTTCTAGATGATAGATAGATCTTTCCAGCTGAATAATATGTTTAAATTGTAAAATTTCTTTAGCGACCTTTGACCTGCATATGTAGGCTATGTACATATGCAATATACATACATATCTCGAGTTGTATACATGTTGTTAAGAAATGTAAGATTTGAAGAGAGGACCTGCAAATTTAGTAACGTACATTGAACAAGGAAAAGTCTTGTCTAAATTTAGACTAAGGTAGGGCGATATTTAACCTTTTTTTGTGATATGTTTTTTTATAATTTTATATAACTTAACTTTGACATTTTATCATTGTAGATATGTTCGCTTTCTCCTTCGTACACACGTCTTGATCTTTGTTTGTTATATTTTATCCTAACTTAAATTTGGCTTTGAATGTAAATAAAACTATGTAGGTATCATTGTGAAGTGTAAACAAACTTATTTACGACCTCGTCTCGTAATTATTTTGTATATATGAATTCTTAAGTAAACTAGTTTACTTAAATTATATACTCTATTATAAACAGGAACACGTAAAAAATATGTGAATATATTATTTTCTGTGTTTTGTTTGTTGTATTTATATCAATTATTTTGAAAAATTTTAATTTGAGTTGTACAAGTCTGGTCATGTTCTGTATACATGTATGTTTGTTGTTACTGTGTTGATCTCGCTCATATTTTACATACAATAAGCCATGATCTGTAATAAACCCAATTTTTATTAGACGTATTTTACTACAGACTAATACCTTGATGAGAACTCTCTACGTTATATTGTACAGGAAAGAGGTCTTTATTCTATCTATTTTGGTATTTCTATAATGTAAGAATTCCTTAAACAAGTATTTCTGATATTTGAAAACAGGGCAGGATTTGACAACTATATTTTACCTATCAATAAAAAATGTTGCCGATTGAAGCTTTTCAATCGCTTGATATATATTACTCGACCGCCAGCTCTGTTTCTACATGTCGAGAGGGTTACTCGTGTGGTCGTTGTGTAGAATAATGTGATATTATGTGATGATATTAGAGTATCTAGAACTCTGTTGATGGTTAAAGATTGTACTTATATTTTTGACGTATTTACGATTGTTACGACTGTATTTTAAAACAGAGAAGATAGTCACTGTTATGATGTAGTATGTTTGTATTGTAGTTAAATTAAAACGGGACCATTGGTTTAGAAACCAATACCGGAGAGATATAGATTTTATATTGTCCATCCCCGGGGCAGATAAATGGAACCATTCTGGAATTATTTCATCCAGGCATATTGAAACTGTTTCGTTAATTCGTGTTCAAATTCCAAAATGAATTAAAAATATTTGACATGTCTACTCGAATTTTGGTTAAGGCATGAACAAAGTTAATTTTTCCCGGAGATTTTTTTTCTGATATCACATTCTTCTTGGCGCCTGTGCTACATTGATTGGTTATTGTGAGAGAAGATTGTTTTACAGTATATCAACATGTCTACATGTCTGTGATAGAATGAGACGGATATCTAATTTTATACATGGCAGTCTGTCTGAGATGGTGACGATATAATGAGATTAAGATATTAATTCTTGCCGTGAAAGTTTGGAAATGCGTGTAAAAGATTTGATATAGAACGCCTGTTTTATTATTTGAAGTAGCGGACCAAAACCAATATCCAATATCTGTATATTAAAATGTGTTGTAAACTCGAGTGATTCAGTTTAAAAGGGATGGACCGACGTTTATATAGGGTTCAAGCTATTCGTTTAATATGTTGAACTGTTTTGAGTAATTTGTCATTGAATAAACCCCATACTTTAGTGGGTTTACAGCGTTACAATGGTCCAAATATAGGGCGTATGCTTTCTTCTTTGGTATAACTATTCCCAAAGTAAGTTCCGCTCTGTAAAATCTGCTACCGAGTTTTACGAATAGCTATAATGTCCTTGTAGTTTTTGTTGGAATTAGTATTTTGCACTGGTCGTGTCTATTTTAACTTTATATGGAAAAAGGGAGACAATCACATAGTACATGGATTCAGTGTTAACAGTTATCGTTCCTTTCCGAGTGATCGAGATGTACAATGCTTGCAAATATATTCAGTTTACAAAGTTTACAAAGTTACCATAACATCGCTCTGATGCTACACAAATGCTAGTAATATATTTATGACCATATATATATATAAATATTTTGTAAACAATTTGATGAATCTGGCATGTATAAAGTTTACCGAGCGGCTTCTTATGAAATACTGGCGAGATATTTATGACCATATATATATATATATATATATATATTGTAAACAATTTGATGAACCTGACATGTATACTTATCGTCTCCTTATTCATAGCCTTGTTGACCTTAGTGAGTTATCTTAGCTGTGTTGACTTAATATATAACCTTAGACTTCTCCACCCTAGCTCTGTTTTGAAACCTGAGTAATGTTGACTTCAGCATGTTGTCCTAACCCTATTGACCTTATAATACAGAACTTGAATAAAACCATGATTCGATTGACTTTAGCATATAACCTCAGCACTGATTATTTTAGTATGTGAACTTGGACCTATTGACTTTAGAATGCTGACCTTATGATATAACCTTAGCTCTATTGATGTGAAGACATCGCTTCAGCTGTTGACCTACATACTTAACATTTCCTTTCTCTATCGACGACCTTAGCATACTCGTATATTCATAAGGCTGGGAATTATTTATGTCATTAGTGGTTAGCTTTGTAGAAATGTATTATCATTCTCTGAGTTTACCCTGTTATGAAAATAATAAAAGAAACTTTTTGTGAATTCAAGTCAACCTGCGTCCATCGTCTGTCTAGGCGTCCGTCCGTCCGCCGTAAAAGAGTTCTTGTTATCGCTATTTCTGGAGAAAATACTGGATGTACCATTCTCAAGTTTGAAATATTAGTCTTCCTTTTGGGATTGGTCGTAAAAAGACTGATTGCGGTCATCTTGGAGTTTGACAATTAAATATTGTTATCGCTATTTCTTGAGTTCTAGATTGCTATTTTCCAAATTTCATATGTAAGTTCCCCAAGGTCCTTTAACCTGCACTTCTCATTTCGGAGCTGTTCAGTAAAACAATGTCTGAAAAATCCTTCTCTTGGATTTTGAAACTGAAATATTGTTATCGCTATTTCTTGAAAAGCACCGAATGGATCTTTTCCAAATTTCATTTGTAGGGTCCTACTATCTAGTTATGTTTTTTTTTTATTTATAATGGTGCCAGCCACAGGTGAACATCATGGATAGCACATTCATTATCATTTTAGCTTTTTCTTTGGAGCATTTTCCAAATTTCATATGATAAATAGCAAATACAGAGGAAAGAAAAGAAACGAGGGGAAAATATCAAACATGTAAAGAAAATGGTTTGCGCCAAGATCCCTCCAAGATCTCTTGTTCTTACTCCATGTGTCAATGGATTTCATTATGAATTCCAATACCATATCTATTTATGAAATAATTTTAGATGTTGGTTATAGTGAACTTATGTTTAAAAATAAATGTTAGCTTGGTCATGAAAAAGTGCGAGTTTGTCTTATTTTATTGCAAAGATACAAACTAAATGTATATACAGTGATCATCATCATCATCATCATCATCATCATCATCATCATCATCATCATCATCATCATCATCGCCGTCGTCGTCATCATTATCATTATGAGTTTCATCGTCATCACCCATCATCATCATCCATCATCATCATCATCATCAAACATCGTCGTCGTCGTCGTCACTTTGGTCAGTTCTTGATCAGTAATGAAAGTGTACACAGTGATATGAGGCTAGTGAATTCTAAAACAGTCATATATCTGAATCCGGACACAACTAATCCCAGCTCTGTCCGCTCCCTATTACGGGAATTCACTCACCACTCATCCGGGTTATCGGGTTAACTTCTTGAACTGTCGTCATTAAATCCGGTTGTCTCACTCTATGCTACTGTTGTTATGACAAAGGACACTGATTGGGAAGGTTTTGTCTATAATTTCTCAAGAAGCCAACAACATGACTTTATGTAGTGTTCACGGCTTTGTTAGGGTTTGAACTCAAACTGAAAGTCGGATTACCTCTATCAAAAGACGGACATGTGTACAATTGTAGGTGTAGTTTGGAAAGACATTTTTGTCAGTCTAAGAAGATAGGGGCATTATTATGTAGTATAGTTTTAAAATATTTACTTGACATGTGGTATGACTAATATTATATAAATAACTTATCCACATAATATACATAACATGTTTATAACTGAGGTCACGTGACAGCATGAAAGGTAGCATATAAAAAATAAACAAGATAATAACACATTTATTACAGTCAAATAAAAGAGAGACACAGAGAGATAGAGGGAGGGAGTGAGAGAGAGATGGTAGAGAGAGATGGTATAGAGAGAGAGAGAGAGAGAGAGAGAGATGGTAGAGAGAGATGGTAGAGAGAGAGAGAGAGAGAGAGAGAGAGAGAGAGAGAGAGAGAGAGAGAGAGAGAGAGAGAGAGAGAGAGAGAGAGAGAGAGAGAGAGATGGCGGAGTTATATATAAAGATACAGGGGGAGAATGAATCAAATCTTCTCGATCTACCCCGAATATTTTGTACCGCTCCGGCAATCTTTAGATTGTCATCTAAAGAGATACTAGCGACACCATTATATAGTATATTTGCATGAATATTACCATCATGTTATATTCTACACAAGTTTTGATTTAGGAGCAGATAATTAAAAAATCTACACTGGGATATCCACGTCGACACTGCTGAATCAAAGTTAAGTTTTCTTGCTCGGTTTCTAAGACAACAGAGAAGAATTTTTAATTGACTATATCCATGATTAATAAATTTGTTGTTTAGATTACTGTTCATGGACTTTCTAACCTTTGACTTGAAAGAATTCCACGACAGTAAATTTCTGGATTCGCTGTTATTTGAAAACACGGTTGTAATTTAAAATTCATAAATCAGGAATGCCAACATGGCTTCTTAACAGTGACATTTTCCAGTTCAGTAATGTGACGTCAACAGACCATTTCACATATTTGTACATGTATATATACAAAAATGTATATATGTACAGTGTGCTTATCTATTGTTACTTATATCTGTGCAGTCACTGGAAGCATATGAAAACGCTATGTCACTTAACAGCATACATTTGCAGCGGCATAACCTATAACTTAACAAAAGCTTGACATCTTCACTGTACAAAATATTAACTCTATAGTTAACTTATATTTTGATATAGAATTCATATATCAAACCGAGATATCCTGGTGGATCATTCAGCCTTTCCTATTTGGGTTGAATATATTTACATCATTGGTCAGAGAACTGTCATACTGTGTGGTCCCTTTCCATCCCAAACCCCACCCCATCCCTGACCCCCGAGCTTACACAATGAATGATAATAAGAGGTACCTAATCTAGTCAAGCTCATGTAAATGGAGGATGGTATGTTATACGTCATCTCTAAACAGATATATCTCTGAAAATAAATCCAGTGTAATGAGCATAATTCATCTGAGACATCGTCGTCGTCGTCGTTATGGACACGGTTATCCTCGGATTATTCCGTAATCCATCGACATTATGATATATTGTAAAAGTTCATAAGTAAACTTACGGTAACATTAAAAAGTATGTGTAATCATGATAAGATCTGTATTTAATGTATACCCAATATTGAATAGTTCTAACATTTCGTTGGGGTTTGGTTAATAAATATTAAGCTGAACAACAGGAAATTTTAGTGAACATTCTTTCTGTTGACAGTGCGATTTTTACGCGTGAGTTTATTCACATAAATTAAAGTTCATCAACCGTAAACAATATATATGTATGTATAGCCAATCAAAGACATCTCCGGTTTCTATGTGGCCTAGATATATATGTTTATATGCTTGTTTATGGTTTGGAGGGTGTGTGCAAATAAACACATCTGATTGGTGGATTTGATGCACGCCCCTATCGGTGCCCCTCGGTAAAACGAGGCTCATCACGTCATATGTCAAGGACGGCCTATTTATACCAGCGTCGAACAAAACAAACCTCGCCGTCAAGAGTGCATATTAGTTTGTGTTTACGTTTTTAGAAGAGGTTGTCCGGTAGTTCCAAGATGAAACAACGGCCGAAAGTGTATATCACTCATCACATTCCACAGAAAGGAGTTGATACTTTGCTGAAAGCCTGCAATGTGGCGATTTGGGATGGGAATCAGGCTGTTCCGAGGGGCGAGCTTGTGAAGATGGTTAAAGGCGTTGACGCTATTTGGTGTCGAGCTGAGGACGAAATCGATCGACAGATACTTGATTCGGCAGGTAAGATTGATTTGTTTGAGGTTTAATGATAAACCTGTTGTTGATGTCACGGCCTTGCTTCGTCGTTTATCATCTTGATATTGAAGAAGGATAAAAAAAGTTCGGACTGTTTACATTAAGCTTCGACTGTTGGTTAGCATTGTATTGAACTTAGAATTTTTAAGTAGCATGTATTCAACCATATTTAAGCTTTTTATAGTGAATCAAAAGACACTCTATTGTCACCGTTTTACCTTCTGAGTTCAACACAATACGATCACTTGGCCACAACACAGAGAAATAATAGACTGATTGTAATAATAAATGTAAGTCACTAAAATGGGAAAGTGACATAAGCAATGTTCAAAATAACGCCTTCTCATAGACATCGGCGATAGAAGAAGTTTACTCAGTTGTTGTAAAACCTTCCTGACATTTACAGTGTACCAATGTTTAGTGACAGCTATAAGTGACGAACACATCATGTATTCGTTTTTCCGTATATAAAAGATATCTTAATATGTGTGCGTGATGGGAAGGGGTAATGAAAAGCACTCTGTCCTGTCGGGGTTCGAACAAGTGACCAGAGCCGCACGCCCTACCGCTTGACTAAAGACAATTTCCCAAAAGCCAAGGCTAGTGAGACGACTAGTAATACACTTAACCAATTCCCACTTAGGTATATTGCATTTGCTTGCATTTGATCAAGATTAAGAGGGCAAGTGTGAAAAAACAAGCCACTTAAAGCATTAACATGGGAAAATCCCTTGACGTTCTTCTGTATAATTTTTAATTGCGCCAGAAAGCACAATCTGATGCTCACCGCGTTTATGATTTGTTTGAATAATGGATTAGATGGAGGTCTGCCTTTATTGAAGAAGATCGTGTGTCAGATATATACAAATTAAAACGAGTAGATACCCATTAGCGTGTTACGATTCAAGTATGGCTTAATTTCTTTTTACAACTGTGTTGAAACGTGACAAATGTTTCATACTTGGAATGTTACTGGTTAGTTTTGCGACCAGAGTGACGCTTACATGTGTCGATAAAACAGTGTCTTGTTTGCTGAACACTCGCGGAGGGAAGTTTTAAAGATCGCGAGTTAATTTTATTCGTATTTTAACTATGCGTATTGAAGTGTTCCTTAATGAAATTGATAAATTTGGTATCAAAACCTCTCGTCATATCAATTCATATCTAATTTTCTCCATTTCACTGAGTTCTCCGACAATCGGACGATGATCACGAAACATATATTTTCTTTTCGTGTGTACGCCTATCCTTTCCTTATGACACATTGATGTTTTAAATACTTCATACTCAAACTGATGTTCCAATTAAAACTGACCTAAATTTCTGTTTATATAAAATAACTTTCGTTCACATTTTTCAAATTTATGTTTTCCTTCACGAAATGGATTATGTACAGAAGAGAGAAATTTAGATTAGAAATCTCAATAAAACGTGTCATGAATTGTACCAGGGTTAGGTAAAAAAAATATCAGACACCAGGCAAATGAAAATAAAGTTTCGTCGGTTCTACATGTAGAACATATGATTTGCATTACGTCTAATTCATCATCAAAGTGTATGTCATTGAAAGGTTTTATAGATGATGCAACATCATAACGTGGTCACGCCATTCATGGCGTGATACGCCGTACATAGCGTGAACAACACAATGTATGATGTACACTAGTACAAATATAGTTCTAATCGAAATACATTGCTGTGTACTCTGTAAAACTGTTATTTCGGGAATCGGAAAAAGAGAGAATATGTTTTAAAGTACATATCAATATATGAACCTATTCCTGGTTTGCATGAATGACCTTTAACCCAGGTATTCTCAAACGTAAAAATTGCATCAGCCAGGCACTGCCATTCTATTCTACTTGTTTGGAATAACAATGTATGGCGATATGGTTGAGTGGCGCAGTGGTAACGCACTCGCCTTTCACTTAGCAGTCCGGGGTTCGACTCATGGAACGGACGGTTTCCAGCAAGAGTGATTGGTATAAGTTGAAATAATTTGTTTCGCAATTAAAAGTAAATTAAGTTTGAATATTTTTTATGTATTTAAGGGACTGAATATCACGTGTACTTTGGAAATCAAACCTATGGAATCAATCCGATTATTTTACTGAAGTGATCGTCATTAATACTGGAATGTTGATATATACAATGTGTATTAATGAAGTCAACATATTCATCATTCGTTATGGTTACATCATTATAGCGATGTCGTCAGTAAACTTGTATGATGCAACGACACGCCAGGTCCAGCTGACGATTACAATTGACCGATTGACCTCAACCTCTCTTGTTCCCGATTAATAATCCGAATCTAGGACATGTTCAGTACATATATAATAGGCATAGTAAGTGAATGTACGTGTACTTATTAACCGTGTCGGTTTAACTTATGGGGAAGGGAGGTAATTCAAGAAAATAAAATGACGAAATCAACTTGTTAGTACACGTTGACTACATTATTAGGTAAGGTAAGGACAACACGAAAATCTAATCACGAAAAAGTGTTTTTTTCGAAGTGCAACTTATTGATTTTATGAGCAAATGCTAGTGGATATTAATCCCATATACATATAATTACAAAGTAGATACATTTCCTTTCACAACTTGACAAGGACAAAAACTGACATCTGACAGGTTCCGTAGACTTATCTAGAACTTCTACTCTCAATATTAAATTGATTATCAGTGTCTCGTATGTCAGCTAACAACCTTAAATCAAAAGAATACTTTTTACATTCATCAGCAAACAGTTTCCATGTGCATGATTCAATACGGGCTTGGCCAAACTGAGTATAACGCACAGTCGGGGATTGTAGCTAATTTTATCGACCAAGTGCTATTGAGGTCGTTTGAAGGAGACTGACGTGTTATTTAGCTTGTTGATCAGAAAGTAAGACAATCATCAAATAAAAACTGATAATGTTTGGTTGTGATGCAGTGTATTGTTTATTGTATCTTGCATATTTAATTAATTCGTTTTAATTAATACGTGGATTTTAAATTATTCCTGATGAGAAAGATAAGTCAGGTAATATTACCACTTGACTTTGCTAAACTACTGATGAAGTATTAACTAATACATTGATTGAGGTAATTGTTTTTGTCATGGTTTTGTCAATTCCAAACACCCGTTACATCAAAGATTATACAAAAACACCGTTTCTCATTTAAAGTTTTACACAGTAGAACCGGTCAATGTATCAAACTGCATCATACAGATGTTTCGTCCTTCTAGGACTCGTCAGTGATGTTACATCATACAGATATTTAGTCCTACTAGGACTCGTCAGTAATGCTACATCATACAGATGTTCGTCATTCTAGGACTCGTCAGTGATGCTACATCATACAGCTGTTTCGTTCTTCTAGGACTCGTAAGTAATGCTACATCATACAGATGTTTCGTCCTTCTAGGGCTCGTCAGTAATGTTACATCATACAGATATTTAGTCCTACTAGGACTCGTCAGTAATGCTACACCATACAGATGTTCGTCCTTCTAGGACTCGTCAGTGATGATACATCATACAGCTATTTCGTTCTTCTAGGACTCGTCAGTAATGCTACATCATACAGATGTTTCGTCCTTCTAGGACTCGGTCAGTGATGTTTCATCATACAGATGTTTCGTCCTTCTAGGACTCGTCAGTGATGTTTCATCATACAGATGTTTCGTCCTTCTAGGACTTGTCAGTGATGTTTCATCATACAAATGTTTCGTCCTTCTAGGACTCGTCAGTGATGCTACAACATACAGATGTTTCGTCCTTCTAGGACTCGTCAGTGATGCTACATCATGCAGATGTTTCGTCCTTCTAGGACTCGTCAGTGATGCTACATCATACAGATGTTTCGTCCTTCTATTTAAAACACATGCTGTATGTCCGGAATGTGCATTTAAATTAAACAACATTTAAATCGTGATACATGTGTCGGATGAGTGCGGCGCTTTGCCGTTACCAATATATATACATGATTTATATACAAAATGTATATACAAAATAATATTACAAGAAAAAATTGTAAATGGTAGTCTGTGATACTTGTTTTGACTTACACTCGTATCAAAAGAATATTATGATATATACAAATATAGAATCAGACATCACGAAGGGACCCATTGACCCACTGACGATAGCAAAAGCAAATTTCATTTGTAAAAATAATTACCGGCACGTCAATATTACAACAAAAACAAAAAGTTAGATAAAACATGTCGATCTTCCTGTTTAGAAATGTGATTTTAATCATTCTCAGTAAGAACACCCCGGATGCCTGCAAACTCCGGTATCACACGAACTTCACGATCCGGAAGTATAAATAAACTCAATTTGTTCATGTTTAACAAGTAGGAAGGCTTTCACGTCAAACAGGGACATCATATTTCTGAGAAAGCTAACACTGACTTAATTCTTTATTTAGATGTCTCTGTAATCGAACAAAAGATAGAGAAAAAATGTTCAGAATAAGGTATTGCTTAAATATCAAATGTACATATAGTCACGCTGACAACAACGTGACTGTTCCTAAAATCACTGAAGCGGGTTACAGACACATGGTTTTTATTTTTCCGGTCATAGCACAAATACACATGTATGCCATTGAAAAAACTGCGTTGGTGTTTGCGAAACTTTATAGGCTTACCAAACAGAAAATAAAAATTATCAAATGTCTCTTTTTTGTATTAAAAGTTTCAAATTACGTTCACTCCACTTATTGGACGGCGAGACAGCGTGTATGGCCACTGTGCTGTTGTGTTTACATTTTATCAATATGAAACATTCGGCTCTCTCGTTTCAAACCTTTGTTAGTTTTTACGAATAAATACCGACCATTTGCGTTTTCACTAAATGTTTAAAAATATTATCCGAAAAGAAATCTTTTTTTAATCTGCTAACCGCATAATGTGAATCATTATTATCTAAGGTTTGTTAGATAGCATGTAATCCATACGACATATCGTCAGACAAGATCAGTCCATT